TTTAAGAATCAGCCGAGGTTTGCCGAAAGCTCTCGGCCAGTCAAAGTTTACGGAGATGACCGAGCGACAACCGTGGTAGGGCTACAAGTTTATCTTTTAAAAAGATAGGTGAGCTAGCGCCGTAGCAATTTTTAAACACAGAAAGGAAGATCCGTGATCAAGTGATTTATTTTGCTGAATTCTTTAATTTTAATCGAGGCTGGAGAGTGATAAATTTATTATTGTTTTGTGAAGCGTATCCATTTTATAGACACATAGGTAAAGAAACAATGGGGTGGGTGACCTATTGGACTTTTGGTGCAACGGAACATATAATTATGACCTTTACTGGAGAAGGGGGGGGGGGGCTCTATACAATATGAAGAAGATGCCGATTGAGACATTGCATGTTTGGGCTGATTTAAAGAAGAGAATTTCTTGGCAATGTAGCAAAGAAAATACATGGGAGCTGAAAGGAATATAGAAAATAACTCAAAGTGTATGTCGTGTAAAGAGTACAGAGAGTTTGGAACGCATGTAAAGTAGCTTAATTGGTCCTTTGGGTCATCTTTGTCAAGATATGTTGGGTTAAAAGCCATACACATTAAAATTTTTTTAAACACAAATAGTGGATAAATTTATTCGTTATTTTTAGTGTAAATTCTTGCTTCTGTTTCTGGAATTTGTAAGATTGGCTGAATTGACCTATCAGAAATTAGAATCTATCTTTGGTTGTGCTTAGATGTAAAAAAAAAAAAAAAAAAAACTCCCTTGTCATTGTTTAGAACAATCAGATAATGCCTCGGGCTTTTTCGTCAGCAACCCCCCCCCCCCCCCCAGAATTTGAAATATTATAAATATGAAGTTATCTTTAAAGTGTAAGCTACACAATAAATAAACAATTATTTCATGCTACAACATGATACAACGAAATTGTTATCGTACGGTCTATCTGTAGTAGTTTTAGTCTCGTTCAACCAGACCCTCGGCTGTCTCCGTAAATCTCCGACCACCCAGAGGGTCTGGTAAAGAATCACGTTAGCGTTTGTAACCGTCAGAGGGCGCTATCTTGTTTTCATTTTGAAGATCATTTTTGAAGACAAATGTTTAATGTGTTTCTTCTTCTGGATTGTGACTTTATATTATTAAACTAATCTTAAATTTCTGACACCAAACGAGAAATTACGATACCAATCGAAAGAATGTGTATTACGCAGGTAGGGCTACTCTACTTTCACTTTTGCTTTCGTACAGAATATTTGCAAGACATAATAAAACACACTTACCTATAACTGGTGGGCATTACCGTAAACAATTCCTATCTAATAGCTTTAACTTTTAGACATATAACTTTTACATCTTTAAGTTATTTTTCTGCTGATGTATCATGTATTTATTTAAATCGTGTAGGTGTGTTCTTTTCAGCCAATCAAAAACTTTACCAGAATTTTGGTAAGCCTCGTTTTGGCGTTACAAACGATATTACGTATCTTTACCAGACCCTCTGGGTGGTCGGAGATTTACGGAGACAGCCGAGGGTCTGGTTGAACGAGACTATAGTAGTTTTCACAGTTTTCCCAGAATGCACGGCCATGGCGGCCGAGCATGCGTATTCAAGGAATTTGGACTAACGTAGTTGCTAGCGCTCGAGAGCGCTAGCAATAAGCTCATTTAATGAATCTGTCCCGCAGCAATGGCGCATGCGCATAAACACATCCGAATGGATACAGCGTCTGTAGCGACAAGGCGGAAATTCCGAAATCATGGTTAAAAATTGCTGTGTTTACAAATGTCGGAATGTCTCTAATGCCGATGCTAGATCGAGAGGGGTTAGTTTCTTCCGTTTCCCAAAGAATAAGCGAAAGCGAAGATTGTGGATCAAAGCAGTCAACAGGGATAAGTGGGAACCAGGCGACCACACTTGGATCTGTTCCGAGCATTTTTTGCATGGGTGGCACGGAGATGATCCCAGTGATGATAATTACGCCCCCACTTTGTTTGCTTATAAAGACATTAGATCGGATGAAGACGTCAAAAGGGAAAAAAGGAGATAAGAACGTGAATCAACAAAGGTAAAGTCTTAATACATGATAAATCATAAGGCCTAACAGTTACCCCAGCAATATTTATCGTATATATATGTGATCGATTTTTTATATACTCCACATAAATTAAAGAAAAGTCTTATCAATATATATTATGGTACATGCACTGGAGCTGAAGAGTAGTTCAGGTGTGGTGAATATAAATACTGAAGTGTATGTACTGTACATGTATGATAAATTATAGGCATTGAGATAAATTCAGAAACTATAGCCTACATATTATATAATCTTTTTTCGTCACAGTGAAAAGGGGTTGTTTGGGGGTTGGGGTGGGCGTGAGGTACCCGTTTTTGTGTGTATCAAGTTACCAATACAAATTACAAATACCTACAATAAAGTTTTACAAATATTATGTAAATTTATTGAAAAAAATAGTTTATCTATTCAAAATTATAATGAAATAATTAAATGCTTAATAATGGGGTGGGGGGTGGGGTTCAAATATCACAACAAATTTACACCACTATAAATAGCAAACTGAATAATTGGTGTGTTTATGTAATATAATACATAGTAAGTACTATTTATTCTAATGTTTAATAGTATATTTTGTTGCTTGTGCATTTAAAATATTGATAATATATATGAATATAGAAAATATTCATTTAATAGGAAGAACTGTACAAGGAGGTTATCTCGAAAGAGAGGGAGATGGCAAGCCTTCATTTTTCGCTGCTGGCCCATGGATCATACTGTAGAGTAGAAGAGGCTGTAGATATCGATCATGAAGATCTTTCTGCCATCACAACAGATGATGTTAACATTCATCTCACATCTGATTCAAGTGAGACTACCACTATGCATTTGTAACATCTAAATGGTATAATCATTAATATGAATACATAGATAACTTATAAATGGTCATCAATTGACATTTGAGTTTTTGTGAGATGAACTTTTTTTTAAGTATACCCTCAATAATACAAGTAAATCTATGTAATTCTAAATGAAAATATAATATATTACATAGGATGAATATTGGTGCAATATTTATAGTTACATAATTACGAATCCTAGGTGTACAGTGTGAAGAAGACCCCCTACTTCATGAAAACAGGGAGCTAAGACAAGAGGTCAGTCGACTAAGAGCGGAACTTGGCAGGCATAAGTGGGGTGTGGAACGCATCAAAGACGACGATGGAATGACAAAGTTCTACACAGGATTACCGTCATTTGCCATCTTTTTGTGGCTGTTCAAGTAAAAGAATAATTAAAGGCCAACAATAAAAAAATGATTTGTTTGATGTACTCCGACCTTCCCGTCAAAATCGCCTCTACCCAATCCTTGTTTTCAGTACTTTAAATTCTAGTGTTTTTTTTTTATTTTTGGGTGGGGAATTGGTTTTCAGGAAAATAAAGATTGTTCTAATTTAAAGGGGATTTATAATTTCCTTAAGATGCTTTTTTCGTGCTTTGACAGAACATTTTTAAAGCAATGAATATTAAATCTGTCTTATCCAGAGTATCAAGAAAACATCAATAAATATGATTACTATATACCCCCCGCTTGAAAAAGTCTTTGGGTTTTTTGACAGTAAATTGTTGGATACTGCAAAAAAAAAAAAAAAAAAAAAAAAAACAAACAAACAAAACCTACCTAAACCCACCTTGTAAAATGTGGATCAGAGTACATAAAACAAAAATATTTTACTGATGGCCTTAGAAACAAATTATAAAATAGGAATGTCTACAATGTTTGAGTACCCAACTTCATGCAGGGCTTAATGGTCATACTGATCATTAAGTGACTAGTTATTTTTAAAATGAGCTACTCTTTCAAAATTTGCCATTATAAAAGTTACATAATTTCTAAATTCAATTTAAAATTTAATGAGATGATTTGTCCTCTTTTTTTCTGTTTGTATCTAATAATCTATTTAAAAAATATTTTAGCCAGAAAACTATTTTAGAGTAGGCTTGCATATTATGTCAGCAATTCACTTTATAAAATATTTAAATGATTTCTTAAATTATTAATCATTGCAGCTACCTTGCACGTAAATGCTCAAGGATGACCCTTACCGAAAAATAGGGCTTCTGGCGAAGTACTGCGGCGAATCTGCCGCAAACTTAGCGGCAAGGTTACTGCAGATTGTTTGCAGCAACCTTACGGCGACTTTTTACCATGCAAATGAAGTTTGCGGTAGACTTGCTGCAAACTTGAGATAGCCTAATATGGTTTATGGTGAACCTCTGGTGAAGTTTTGCGGCTAACCTCCGGCAAACTTCTGATAGCCATATATAGTTTGCGGCTAACCTCCGGCAAACTTCTGATAGCCATATATAGTTTGCGGCTAATCTCCGGCAAACTTCTGATAGCCATATACAGTTTGCAGCAAACCTCTGGCAAACATTATCAGATAGCCATATATAGTTTGTTGTTTACCTCTGGCAACTTTGAAATATTTATTACTCCCCAAAACTTCTAATAGCTATAAATAAATCTAATGCATTATGAACACATTAATCATGGACTGCATAAAACAAGGATTATATGAGGGATTACTTGCGTTCAAATGATTTTTCTAAAAAATTTTGTGGTTTCCATAAAAACTACAGAGTGAGTATATATAAATAGCTGTGACTAGTGTAACACTATCAATAACAAATAAATCAATATAATCAATATAATACGTACTTGCTTTAATATGCATAATAAAAACCGGGTACATAAATTTAAGAGAATTTTGCCACATTTAACTGTTATAATTACCATGTACAAAACAATTTTTTCTTAAAATTATACAAAGACAAGTACACGTAATCGAGTTAGGGAATCGGTTCAGGATTGTCGCTATTAGACCATTAACAATTAAAAGATCATATGATATATTAAACATAAATTTATGAATCAGATATGAAAACATGCATTTTACTTACAACTCCATGAAACGGCATATCATTAAAAATCCCAACCTATTTGGAAAGTCTGTTTTCTTTCACTGCACGGCACATGGTACCGATCTTGGTGTTAATGGCTTTCACAATGTCTGTGTTGTCCATTCCTAGAGTTGTGATGGCAAAAGCTGTAAGAAAAAATAGAAAAATTAATTAATTATTTATAAACTTAATTCAAATTAAAAAGATATAATTAATCAAATTAGTGATAATAACTTAATACATTTTTTAAATTGATCTCACCTTTCAAAGCCTGGCCAAGAGGTGTCTGTAGCAATATCATTGCAGTTTTCTTCTGCAACTCCTTAGGCTCATAGAACCCATTCATGATCAATTTCAAGCAGTGGGGTTTGGTCTTCCCCCTAAACAGACTCTTAATGTTGGCCATCCATTTTGCCTCGATGTAAATATCATGGCCCTCCACAAATTTCACATAACCTCGTGGTACTTCAAAGTTTTCTGGGTTCTCAGCTAGAACCTAAATTATTGATAAAAACGATTAACTAGACATAGATATCACTTACGTAAAAAATAAAAGTTGACAATTTAAGGGAAACTCAGAAAATTTGGATGCATGATGGTAAATCATATTACTAAGTACTTACGTAACAACATCTTTCCACGCAGATCCCCCTCTTGGGAAGGTAGTGGTCATCCTGACCGGTGGATTGATTTGCTTTCTCAGAATTGTTCTCCCTTAATGTGTCTGATAATAAAAATCAGTATATTATATATATGTAGAGAGAGAGAGAGAGAGAAGAGATGATGTACAGTATATATATATATATATATATATATATATATATATATATATATATATATATATATATATATATATATATATATATATATATATCAGTATCATATATTTTTTTTTGCATTGTACTTTGAAATTTTAAAAAACGATTATGAATTAATTTCAGCCTGATATTTATGACAATACCATTTACCAAAATTTGTGCAATTTTTTTATTGAATGTAAATGAAATCAAGATACTTTAAATGCATTCACAAAGAAAGCAGATTATTTTTAAAACAGTAACCTAATTCCGCCCTCAATTTAATCGCTTCAGACTTCCAGTATGTAATATCCCTTTCCTGCTGGCTTTGATATTCTTTACACCTATTCAGCTCAGTGTCTTTCAGTACACAATCCCCACAACCATTGTCGGAGAGGGCAGATAGAAATGAGTTGGACTGTGAGGATGCACTGGGGAAGGTTGACATATCACCAGCATTTAGGTCATTGTTAGCGCTACTGTGATAATCACTATTTTCTACTGTGCATTGAGTGCTAGATGTTAAATTCAAAAGATGTCTTGGGCTATCTGAGTGAGAAGGGGGGCATTCAGATGAAGTGGATGAATTCAGTTTTGGAGGAGATTGGGGAGATGGCACATTCATCATGCTACTGTTAGGGACAACTGAGGAAGGATTTTGGTTGGTTTGATAGAAAGGATAAAAGAATGATGAGAGAGGATGAAAGGGAGTGGGAAACCCTAACCCTCTGTTAAAATGAGGAAAAGAATCAACAGAGCATGCCTGAGAAGACTGAGTTTGAGAAGAAGAGGACGGATTAGAATTAACAGAGCATGCCTGAGAAGACTGAGTTTGAGAAGAAGAGGACGGATTAGAATTAACAGAGCATGCCTGAGAAGACTGAGTTTGAGAAGAAGAGGACAGATTAGAATTAACAGAGCATGCCTGAGAAGACTGAGTTTGAGGAGAAGAGGACGGATTAGAATTAACAGAGCATGCCTGTGAAGACTGAGTTTGAGGAGAGGAAGACTTAACTGGAGAAATGGGCTCATATTCCAGAGGATTTAAGTGGCTACTGGACAAAGTGGTAGAGCAGGCAGTTGCAGAGGAGGTTACAGAACTTGACATTTCTATGTTATTTGAACTTACATGTATATCATGCGATGGCGGTTAGGAAACTAGACTTAAACAGCTCCTCCGCTGTCGCCATCTCTGTCTGCTTTCTTGCGGACTCTATTTTTTTCTTTTCCTCATTCTTTTCTGAAATTTAAGAATGTTCTGTATGATATATATAATGAAATTTGAAATGACTAAAAATTTTGATTTATAGATATTTGAAAGAGTTGGACTTCATACTAAATCAGTAATATATAATAATATAAAAAATATTAACCTTTCTTTTTTTTCTTCAGAGCTGAATCCTCAGCACTGACTTCAGAATCAACAGGCTTGTCTACTTTCCTCTTCTTATTCTTTGTCTTTTTCTTTGACTCCTTGTATTTAAGGCAATCCTCTTTTGATTCTACAACAAAATGAATGTAAAAACTAAAACTAAGAATATTTGTATATTTAAATAACTGATAAAAAATTATGTATATTGACATTCAATCAATAATGAACCCTTAAATTATTTGTGAAAGAAAAATTATATAACCAGAAAACCACACACTGCACCATGCGGGTGCCTGTTCAAGGTAATCAAGTTCAACTATATTTGAATTAACTAAAAAGAATTATATTGTACGTGTCACAGTGAATAAATATTGTAATACATGTTTTATTAACATACCACTTTCACGCTCAATAACCCCTTGGTAAATGATTCCATCTGTCCACAGAGCATTGACTTTGTCCCCGACTTTGAAGACTTTCTCCTCCCCTGTTTCACCAGTTTCTGGATCCTCTAATTCATCAGACCTAAGGGGTGCACTTAATTCATTATCGGAAGAAAACCGAATCACATACCACTCTACAAAAATTAATTAAATTAATTGAAGCATGTAAAATTAAGTTTTCAAAAACTTAACATATAACAAAAAATTTCAAACAGAAAAAAGGTTTTACCAAAAAAAAAAAAAAAAATTATGCAGCATATATTGAACGTGAACAAATAATTGAATAATCATAGTGTACATGCATGTTTTAAGCTAGACGCGTGCATGCAAGCTAATTTACTTGTAAATATTAATTCTCATGGGTTTGTAGCAATAAAAACAAAAAATCAAATTCAATTAGTAAAATTACAATGTTTACTCCTAAACGATTTTTTTATGTTCTGTAGCTCAAATTAATAATGATAAACATGATTAAACGCCTGGGCACAGGGACCTAGCTATAGCTGTGACCATGCATATTGACCGCCAAAAAAAAAAACCCAGAGAAACAGAGTTTATAGACATAATTACATTTATGAATGCAACCAATATGTATTATTTTTTAAGATGAACTTACTGTTTTCGTCAGCAAATCTCCCTGGCAGTTTGACTCTTCTTTTGGACATGTTCGATCAATTGGTTAACAAATTTGGATTTCCCGATGGTTGATGGAAAGAAACCAACAACAGAAGAGTCTTGAGTAAGTACTGAAAAACAATATTTTACCAAACAAATATATTTTACAATTTACATTAAAGTTTAGTAATTTAAAAGTGAATACACATATATTTCAATAATTTTACAAGAGTGGAAAAATATGCCTCATGTAAAATTCAACTAATTTGGGTAGCATGTCTTTTACGTATTGTTCATCGAAGTAAATTCTCTCGATGAAAATGTTGTCTAACTTAGCTGCCGTCCATACCACAAAGTCCACCCAAGGAAGCCCAATGATGGCCATCTCAACCCTGAACCTGTGCGTAGTATTTGTGTGATTTCTTTAATGTTGGGCCGAATTCACTGAGTTCAAGACAAAACTGTTTTGAATTCATTGAAATGATATCAGATATTCCCAACAGTGTTACATTTTGTCCTGAGATGGAGAAGGGACATTTAATTTCTAGCAGTCCAGTGCTTTCATTATCAACCACTCTCCCATCACTGGTAGCCCCTAGAAAAGAATGCGTCGAGCATAGATTAAGACCAGATGTCTGTACGTCAGTTTCCATTTGAATAGCTCTTTTGATCTGTAGGTAGTCTTCCTTTGCGTCCATCTCATGGTCAATTCCCCACTGCACTGCGAGAGGTAACCTAGAGTATCTGAAATTGTAGAAACTGGTTTCTAACTTCTGTTGATTAATAATCAGCATTTACAAAAAGTATTTTATCCTTTTATCTAAAAAAAAAGTTGATGTTAGTTTTGTGATGCAGTGTGCTACATGTATTTAGAAAGTTAAAAAACAAATTAAATTACTTGTTTAGATTTGATCCATACAAAATCTGTTGGATTAGGGATGTAGGTTTGTCTCCCGATTGAAGAACATCACCAAAGATCGAACTTGTGATCCGTCCAAGATGAAGCTTTTTCCATAGATCACTAAGTCTTTGTGCTCTTGTGTGTTCTTCAATGTAGTCTACTAAGTTTTGGTCAATCATAGGTGGTGGGACTGCAAAATTGCACAAAAATGCCCTTATTAAGATGGCATTAGCTTAGAATTGATGGTTGCACTGAATGTAACTTTTCTTTTTTTTTAACTATCATCTGTATGGTAATCATTGTACTATTTATAAATGAGTATATTTCATGACTCACCATTGTTTTGAGAGAATATCATTTTTTCCATTTTCAGGTGGAGTGGATGGACAGATGTTTCCACCTCCATTTCATTGTCCACTGCAGTTGGTTCTCCAGAGTCAGGAATGTTCCATAGATGTGCCATACCTAAACATTTCAAACAATTTTTTATGATTATTGTGTTTTTTCTTTTAACAAGACCAAAATTTAGATTTTTTTAAAACTTGTAAATATCACTATCACTTTAATAATTTCATGTCTCATACAATTATGCCTGTTCATCATATCAGTAAATAAAAACTTGCAATATTATTTGATTGATTGATTGATTGTATACTGTTTAACGTCCCTCTCCAGAATATTTCACTGATATGGAGACGTCACCATTGCCGGTGAAGGGCTGCAAATTTAGGCCTATGCTCGGCACTTACGGCCTTTGAGCAGGGAGGGATCTTTATCGTGCCACACCTACTGTGACACGGGGCCTCGGTTTATACGGTCTCATCCGAAGGACCGCCCCATTTAGTCGCCTTTTACGACAAGCAAGGGGGTACTGAGGACCTATTCTAACCCGGATCCCCACGGGGGGCAATATTATTTGAATTAAAAGGCTTAGAACATGAGCAAGCTGTTTTTAAAAGAAGAAAAGTTGTGTTTCAATTTTTCCATCGATACCTGTTTGAGGGAAAATGACTTTTAATTCTGAAAGCTGCTGCAATGACCAGTCTATGTCATTTTCCTTATCCTCTGAATGGCGAGGGTCAAATTTCGCCATTGCAGAGCCATGTGGTAGAGAAACGGTTGCTGCAACATTGTCCTCACTTGTCTTTTCTATTTGGGCACGAGGCTTTGATAGATTCAGTTTGCTAATTGGGGTTGGTTTCTGGTTAACCGACCTTGGCATCTTCCACGTGCATAGAGTTGAGGTACAGCTCTGGGATGACGTAAAGATGCCATTGCATATTGCAAAAAGCAACCCACCAATATGGCTGCAGGCTTGAGCTAACCTATAGTAAAATGATGATGAAAAAAAACTTTTAAAATTTAATTATTCTTAAGTGTATAGAAGTTTAACAATTAATTAGAGTTTCTAAAATGGAGAAATCAAAAGATCAGTGTCAGATTAAAGAAATAAATTCAAATAGTTTAGGTGGGTGGGGGGGATTAAGAGCTCCAAAAATTCTTGTGCAACAAAATTTAATGCTCAGAGATTTAATGTGGTACAGGAGACATTATTAACTGGTATTTGAAATGTTTTTTATGAATAAAAAGGGAAAATAAAAGCTATTAACAGTGTTATAATATATCAGTATTTGTTGAATAATTAAATTTCAATCAACAATTTAGTTTTGAGGAGGAGGGGAGGGGTCTTGATGAAAACTATGTAGTATTTTGTCAAACACTGATCTTTTGACCATTCTCCTAGCCTAAGTGTAACACTTGAAATACTTACCCAATGGGGCACTGGCAATATGCAAAGTCCACTTTGTGTGTGCTGCCAATGTTTGACATACAAAGATAAACCTGATACCTCTGCTTTTTCATAGATGCCAAGCAAAAGGCCTTGACATAGACTGTTGTGTCATCAATCTACATGTAAAACACAATGTAACAGTCTAAATACAATGGCATACTTATTAATACTGTATTGGTTGTAGCTGAAGATAATACATATATATATATTTATTATACCTCTGTGAATTTGTTCAATATAAAAACATGACGAATAAACATGCTATCTTTTCCAAGCAGCCACTACTGTGAAATAGTTTTTGTGCTATCTGCCCATGGTGAAATAGTCATCGAACTATTCACCGGCAGCATTCTGTTTCCCTCGCTTTTCATCTCGGAAAACTTCTGGTTTTATACGGATTGTGACGGGTATGTATTATGACGTAACAAAAGTTAAGTCAGCATCGGTATAATATGGAATATCATAATTGTGTGTACCCTGGACTCCCAAAAGTTAACAAAAG